TATGTATGTGTATATATGTATATATATGTATGTGTATATATGTGCATATATATATGTGTATATATGTGTATATATATATGTATATATGTGTATATATGTATGTATATATATGTGTATATATGTATGTATATATATGTGTATATATGTATGTATATATATGTGTATATAGATATGTATATATATGTGTAGATATGTATATATATGTGTATATATGTATATATATGTGTATACAGGTCCTTCTCAAAAAGTTAGCATATTGTGATTAAGGTCATTATTTTCCATAATGTAATAATAAAAATGAAACTTTCATATATTTCAGATTCATTGCACACCAACTGAAATATTTCAGGTCTTTAATTGTTTTAATACGGATGATTATGGCATACAGCTCATGAAAACCCAAAATGCCTGTCCCAAAAAATTAGCATATCATGAAAAGTTTGTCTAAACAAGCTATTAACCTAACCATCTGAATCAACGACGTAATTCTAAACGCCTGCAAAAGATTCCTGAAGCTTTTAAAAACTCCCAGCCTTGTTCATTACTCAAAACCGCAATCATGGGTAAGACTGCCGACCTGACTGCTGTCCAGAAGGCCATCATTGACACCCTCAAGCAAGAGGGTAAGACACAGAAAGAAATTGCTGAACCAATAGGCTGTTCCCAGAGTGCTGTATCAAGGCACCTCAGTGGGAAGTCTGTGGGAAGGGAAAAGTGTGGCAGAAAACGCTGCACAACGAGAAGAGGTGACCGGACCCTGAGGAGGATTGTGGAGAAGGGCCGATTCCAGACCTTGGGGGACCTGCGGAAGCAGTGGACTGAGTCTGGAGTAGAAACATCCAGAGCTCCCGTGCACAGGCGTGTGCAGGAAATGGGCTACAGGTGCCGCATTCCCCAGGTCAAGCCACTCTTGAACAAGAGACTGCGTCAGAAGCATCTCGCCTGGGACTGCTGCTGAGTGGTCCAAAGTTATGTTCTCTGATTACAGTAAATTTTGCATGTCCTTTGAAAATCAAGGTCCCAGAGTCTGGAGGAAAAGAGGAGACACAGAATTCACTTTGCTTGAGGTCCAGTGTCAAGTTTCCACAGTCACTGGGGTGTCATGTCATCTGCTAGTGTTGGTCCACTGTGTTTTATCAAGCGCAGGGTCAATGCAGCTATCAGGAGATTTTGGAGCACTTCATGCTTCCATCTGCTGAAAAGCTTTATGGAGATGAAGATTTCATTTTTCAGCACGATCTGGCACCTGCTCACAGTGCCAAAACCTCTGGTAAATGGTTTACTGACCATGGTATTACTGTGCTCAATTGGCCTGCCAACTCTCCTGACCTGAACCCCATAGAGAACCTGTGGGATATTGTGAAGAGAAAGTTGAGAGACACAAGACCCAACACTCTGGATGAGCTTAAGGCCGCTATCGAAGCATCCTGGGCCTCCATAACACCTCAGCAGTGCCACAGGCTGATTGCCTCCATCCCACGCCGCATTGAAGCAGTCATTCATGCAAAAGGATTCCCGACCAAGTATTGAGTGCATAACTAAACATGATTATTTGAAGGTTGGTGTTTTTTGTATTAAAAACACTTGTCTTTCATTGGTGGGATGAAATATGCTAATTTTTTGGGACAGGCATTTTGGGTTTTCATGAGCTGTATGCCATAATCGTCAGTATTAAAACAATTAAAGACCTGAAATATTTCAGTTGGTGTGCAATGAATCTGAAATATATGAAAGTTTCATTTTTATCATTACATTATGGAAAATAATGACCTTTATCGCAATATGCTAATTTTTTTAGAAGGACCTGTATGTATATATATATGTGTGTATATATATATATATATATATGTATATATATATATGTGTATATATGTATATGTATATGTGTATATGTATATATGTATATATATATATATATATATATATATATATGCATATATATGTTTGTGTGTGTGTGTTTAATTGCTCTTTTAGCTACTTTTGCCTGAACTTAACACTGTAAGTGAAACAAGGCATGTCTTGAGTTGCTGTAAATTATGTTATAATACATATTTACTGTCTCATTCCAGAAAACAACAACTACAAATAATGACAGCCTTCATGATGGACAGACATCATGGACACCACAGCAGCAGCTGTCTTCACTGAAATCATCCTGAACATGATCATCACTGATATGAGGCCTCTGTCAATGGTTGAAGACGAAGGCTTCACTACAATAATCCACACTTTTAATCCAGGTTACAATAATCCACACTTTTAATCCAGGTTCTAATATTCCACACTTTTAATCCAGGTTACACTCTTCCCTCAAGGACACATTTTACAAAGTAGCTACATATTGTGCAGGTATAAAGACACATTTGTATATGTTTTTGTGTACATTTATTTTTTTAAGCTATTTGACTAACTTTTATTTTTTTATTCAATATTTTACTAACAGAATAGTCAAATAGCAACCTGTTTTTGTGTGAATTGATATGTCAGTCAAATGTTCAATTTTGGAATAAAGGGGTGGAAATTAAAACGTTGTTTTTTTTTTCTTTTCCGATTCATCGATTAATCGAAAAAGAAATAATCGGCCGATGAATCGATTATTGAAATAATCGTTAGTTGCAGCCCTATTGTAGATTACTCGTGTAGTCTGTTAAAGCCCTAGCATACACACACCTCAATGGGTATTGGTTCACTGGCAACACTTGGAGGTTATACTGGGAAACTATTAATGATGTGAAAACTATTATTGTACACACCGGACACACATGATGAACAATTAATATATTTACTTGTATGCAATTAGATGAGTCGATATAAAAACATGCACAAAGTGGTGCAGAAAGTATCTGTATCAACAATGGCTTTAGTGTTATTAGAGGATATAGCAAATGGCACAATATGCAGAGAGTGTGTATTTAAAGACAGAGGTCTAAAAAGAGTTAAATCTGGTCCTCTGGACATTCCAAAAAACAAAACAAAAAAATTGTAGAAACGTTTCGTCTTCCATCTGAAAGATTTCCTCAGTCTTAAGTGCTGTATTCAGCTCAGTCTTATAAATGGCACCCTCTCGCAGTGGATCAACCAGTTTGCTGTTGACCACAAACCCACCCACACAGACCAGTATTTGCAGTTTGACTCCCATCACCCTTTGGAGCACAAGTTAGGAGTCATCAGGACTCTATACCACAGAGCAGACAGCGTCCCCACTAACTCAGGAGCCAGGCAGAAGGAGAAATCCCACACAAGACGGGCTCTAGAGCAATGTGGATATCCTAACTGGGCCTTCCTGAAAGCAGAGGAGAAACCCAAACAGGACTCCAGTCAGCCATCAGGTGAAAAGGAGGAACCCAGACCCAGACCAGTGGTCATTCCGTATGTTGAGGGAGTATCAGAGAAACTGAGACGCTTATTTTCTAAAGATAATGTCCCAGTGGGTTTTAAACCCCAAAATACATTACGGCAAAGACTGGTTCATCCCAAAGATCTAGTCCCCCGGCAAGGCCCTTAATCACCACCATCTGCTCCTCTGGTCACCCTAGATAGCTGCTCTCTGCTCCACACAGAGGGCTGTGGTAGCTCGGTGGTTGTATCAGGAAGGACATCTGGTGTAAAAATAATCACTGTCTTTGTGC